CCCTTGTACAAAACGACGATCATTTTTCTAATTTCATAAACAACAGAATACTGTATTTTTTCTACATACCCGTAGTACCCAGGGGGTGAGAGATTATCTTTTATAAGTTGGAAAAGTTCTGAGGGATGAGACCCCAAAAATTCGCCGCTCCAAATTTAAGCGCCACGCTAAGGCACATTCGCTGAAGTAGATCTTGCATGAAGGTCTACTTCCAGGAAAAAACGAGTCTAGTCGATCACACTCCAACACTCAATCTTCTTTTGAACGCACCGTGCAAAGCCACCATTCAAATCTCCTGGTGAAATCCAGGCCACAGGTAAATCAAAATTGACAATCGCGATCGCTCCTAACGGAGCCAGTGGCCAGATTTATCGCGTTTATGAGCTCCTTCCCGGTGCGTCCATTAATCGGCAATGTGGAGCGTATGTTCTGGAACGTAAAAAATCTGATGGCTAATGGCAATGATGGTTTCAGATTCAGAAGAGCCGCCGTCGGCAGTAGAAGGGGCCCAATCTATGGCGTCGTCTGGTCAGGGTCGGCTCCATGTTCACGATTCCGGACCCGGAGTCGATTCTGAGAGCGATGATAGTGAAGTGGGTCGGTTGCAAGCTCTGCTTGAAGCTAGAGGACTGCCTCCGCATCTGTTTGGGGCGCTCGGTCCGCGCATGCAGCATCTTTTGCACCGTAGCATGGGATCGAACAGTTGTACGTACCACTCAAAGCGTTCTGCTGCATCAAATCAATGTTTGGTCGGTTTGCAGCTGTGGCCAAAGCCCAGGCTCTTCTTCCGGGGCTGGAAGCCATAGGAGACGAGGGACAACAACTTCAGGCTGTGATAGAAATGTGCCAAGTGCTGGTAATGGGCAACGAGGAAGTTTTAACGGGATTTCCAGTCAAGCAGGTCGTTCCCGCTCTAATCGCACTGCTGCAAATGGATCACAATTTCGACATTGTAAGGCATCGTTCTTTTGCAAGTACATAGTTTGATGGCGAATAGCTCAGAGTCCAGTTAGTCTGAACTGGAATCGGAAGTTAACGTTGCCTAGATTAGGTGGCAAATCAGGTGCAGTCTTATGTAAAGCTTCGAACGACTGTGTATGCTTCTGCCTACAAATGTTTCCTTTTGAGCCAAAACGGCTGCGATATTGATTCCTTGTGCGTTTGCAGATGAATCACGCTTGCCGTGCTCTTACCTACATGATGGAGGCTCTACCCAGGTCTTCATCAGTGGTGGTGGACGCGGTGCCAGTGTTTCTCGAAAAACTACAAGTGATCCAATGCATGGATGTGGCCGAACAGTCTCTAACCGCTCTCGATATGCTGTCCAGAAGACATTCGAAATCGATTTTACAAGCTGTAAGTGCAAAGTACTCTCAGAATTTGATTGCAAGCAAGCACCGATTTTTGCGCGAATAATTAAAGTGTCTGCACGTGTTTCGTTTTGAAGTATTTTTCGATTTTCTGGAAGTGTTTAGTTAGGTCAAAAAGGCTATTGAACTACTAACGACTAGCTGTAGAGCGAACAGGACACATTTTATTCTGGAATATTTGAACCAACAATTTTTTTGTTTTTGTTTCAAACCTGGCCATTTTCTTGTCGATTTTTTAAGAGGCGCATGGGCGTTTTTCTCTTCATAACGCTCTTAATCTTGACCCTATTCGGATCATTAAGACTGGGTTGTAAACAGCGCAATCTTTTGTGAAGCCGGCTTTTGTTAGTCAGTTGAAATCGGTTTAGAAACGTCAGATTTATTGCGATTTGAACGTCGCGCAAAAAATTGCCTATTTTACACTTTAAACAAACTTGAGATGGATTTAAGTGGCAAACAAGCATTTTCAGACACAAAAATCGCACTTTATTTAAACAAAATAAAACTGGGTTGACGTTCCCTTAAAATTACGGTTGAGAAAACTAAACTCGATTAGAAAACTGGAAAGTTATGAGGGTTTGAAGGCCGGATATCCAATTTTTAAGCCAAAAATATTTTGAATTTTCCCACTTTATATTAATTTAAATGGAAAAATATTTAGAACTGTTACTTTAGGCAAACTTTAGATGCATTTGAGCGCCAATAATGCATTTTTGGAGAAGAAATCGGCATATTTAATTTAAAATTGTATTGTATTAAAGTCTAGACCTGAATTGTTGGGTAATAAAATATTTGCGCTCGCTTACTTAAAAATGCACATCTCGCAGACTAAAGCAGGCAGGCAGTTGCCCCTTTTACCATCTTTAGTAGACACTTGACTCCATAGACGTGGAAAGTTTCAGAAAAATCCATCGGGAACCTGATTTTTGTCGGCTTTGTAAATATCTATAAAATATAAAATTGATGCTGTCAGTCAATTGGGCCCGTCAGTATCTTCTCGTGAGCGCCTCCATCAATTAACCAAGCGGTTTGTTCCAGCGTGGAGTATCTGCCTGCTTAACTTACCTGGATTTTTTCCCCATAAATGCTCAACGGAACGCGTTTTCCGTAACTGCCAACTGTTGCCTGAACCTCACCTCCGAAGAGTTCCAATACGTTCAGGTAGGCAGTAGAATTGCCCGGAATCCCCGGCATTTATTCTTGCTCCAGTGCACTCATGCTGCGTGTCTGTTTAGGAATCGTTGTCTCTCCTCGCTTCAAGACTGACTCAACAGGATAAAAAATGTGTCGAAAGTGTGTGTTTGGCCTTTTCCCGGCTAGTCGACAGTTACCAATTGGAGCCCGTTAGACTGCAGGAAATCGCCAGCGCTGAATTGCTTACCAATCTGCAGCAGTTGCTTGTTGTAACTCCTCCCTTGATTAGCACCGGGACTTTTATAACGGGTATGTGAACGCGCTTGAGCGGTTGGAGCGCTGATCAATCGAATAACTCCATGTTTTTTCCAGTTTTGAGGATGCTGTCGGTGATGTGCGCCAACTGTCCCGATCTGGCTCTAACCTTGTTGAAGCAAAGCATAGCCGAGACGCTTCTGTACCTGCTCACCGGCTCTGGCGAAGTGAACCAGGACAATGTAGAATTGGTCTCCAGACAGCCACAGGAGCTCTTCGAGATCACCTGCCTGATTGGGGAACTGATGCCGAAATTGCCCACCGATGGGATATTTACCGTAGACGCACTTCTCGAAAGACCGATTAGCGTGGCGAAAGATCAGCCCGTTTGGCAGTGGCGGGGCGACAGAGGATGGTGGCACCCGTATGGTCCGGTCGACAGCAGGATTATTGAGAGCGCGCATCAGAACGGAGACGACGAAGTCAGCCTGAACACTCTGGGCAGGATTTACACGGTCGATTTCCATTCGATGCAGCAAATCAACGAGGACACTGGCACGTCTAGAGCGGTTCAGCGTCTCTTCACGCCTTCCAGCAACAAGGCAAGCACGTCCGAGCCCGCTCACTCCACTAATCGGCCCAGTTCGGCCAGCCGCGATGCTCGTGTCGCTTGCCTGCGGAAGGAACGCGGATTAGCTGCAGCGTTCATTAGGTATAGTCTCACTAGCTAGATTGTTCTCTTCAACTTTCGGCTTGACTGTAGAAGTAGATTTCTTACTTTGGAGGCAAATGGAAATCAATATTCCACCTCTATTTATTGCAGTTTTTTGTGCACAAACTAAATAATTATCGATCTTTATGTAATATCCAAAAAAGCTGATACACCGACCACTTAACAAAGCGCCCGTCCATTTTGTCGGGAGGTTTTTTGGCAACCGATATGGTCCTTCCACCAACACATAAAGCATCTGGATGGTTTGAACGGTTGAACGATTTTTCCAGGTCTTTGTTTTGCGTTTTATACGAAGTCTACTCATCAAGTGCAGGGCCGGCAGTTCGCTGTAAGTGCCTGAAAGCTCTTCTGCGAATGGTGTATTACGCAACGCCGGAGCTACTGAAAGATGTGCTGAAGAACCAAGTGGTTAGCAGCCATATAGCGGGCATGATGGCCTCGACTGACCTCCGAATCGTGGTGGGTTCGCTGCAAATGGCCGAGATCCTGATGAACAAGCTGCCCGAAGAGTTTGGCACTCATTTCCGGTAATACGCACACACTGTCCGGTTAGTTGGTCGCATTTTAACGTCGCTCATTGATTATTGCAGACGGGAGGGAGTTTTGCATCAGGTGAACAGACTGGCCGATCCAGAGGTTCCTCTCGGCGCCAGTCCTCCCAAATCAGCCACGTGCAGTGCAACTTCTTTTGCCAGCAGCATGGAATCTCAACCGAGTACTTCGCAGACGTGCACCAGCTTTCAGTTAACTGCTAATGGTTCCGCTGCAATGGTTGGTGTTGGCTGCTTGATTGAAACGGAGTTTTTAAGTATTTTCTGAAAATTCCAGGCGTCGCTTTCAGCGGGTGTTGATCTTCTGAGTGCCACTCCGAATATGCAGCGCGTTCAAGAGGGAGACGGTCGATCGCCAAGCCCGACAGTGCGCTTGGGGGATGTTCTGAAACGGAAAAGGACTGGCAAACGGTCGGGTGCATCGGGCGGCGGCAGCAGATCGAAGACCAGGCAGGATGATTTGCCCATTTCCCCGTCACTGGTGCAAGATTTCTTCAGCAAGGCGGCTTCTCTGGCCAATTCGACCACCTCGTCCACATTGGCTGCAAGTCAACGTCCCAGATATTCCGGTTCGTCGTCGAAGACCAGTTTTCTGCAGAACCTCAACCCGGCAAGGTGGGGCAGGAATACGAACTCTTCACACGAGAGGAATTACACCAAGGACTCGCTCAACAATCTTTCCAAGTCTGCCTCCAATTCTCACATTACTGCCGGGAATCGGGAGAAGACGCGAACATGGATTCGCGAACAGGCCAACAAGTTCATTGACTCTTATTCTAGTAAGTTTTCCTGGCGTTTTGCGTGCGTGTTTAACACCCTTAAAATGTTTCAGACCAGGCAGACGAGCAGCATCCAGCCACCACAGTGCTTACGCGCCTGAAACTCGCCATCGATAAGTTGCCAACCGGAAAATGCGCCGAAGCTCTGCTAGAATTGAGGGAGATTCTCATTGAATCCGACATTTCACCGTTCGAGGTCAACTACTCGGGCCTTATCAAGGCGCTGCTCTCATACCTAGCCGATCTGGTCGGCCCTTTCGATCGGGACCAAAGAATCAGGATTATGCTGAATGTGTTCGCCGATATGCCTTTAGAGTCCAATGTGCGTGAAATAGAAAACATCAATTCTACATGGATGCGGGCTTTGGTAGCCAAATTAAATGGTACGTGAATAGTCAAAAGAAATGTGATTTTCGCTGGGAAATTGCAATTTAACGTGTTACTGTTTCTTGAAAGTGCCACACGACTGCAATTTCCTAAATCAATCTGTGAGATCTCTGAGTTTTCGGCGCGAAGTCCTAGCCGAGACTTCGTTCATCTCTCCACAAACCGTTCAATTTCAAGCATTCGCTCGCGCGTTAAAACGCCCCAGTTTGCACAACTGCTTGTTCCAGGTTGTGTGTCCCAACTGGAACAGTTTCCAGTCAAAGTGCACGATCTGCCAGCCAATTCGGGCGCCGGCCGAGGCGGCACCAGCGCATTGAAGTTCTTCAACACGCACCAACTGAAGTGCAATCTGCAGCGCCATCCGGACTGCAACAATTTGAAGCAGTGGAAAGGGGGCACGGTTAAAATCGACCCTCTAGCGCTCGTTCAAGCCATTGAACGGTACTTAATTGTAAGAGGTGAGTACTTGAGGGGGCAATCTGTTGTGGCACCAGTTTACAAGCTTTTTGCTTCGAGAGCTACTTAATTTTTAACGGCAAACATCGATCTTTTCCAGGCTATGGCCGATTGGGTGATAAAGATACGACTGAGAGCGATGATGGAGATTCAGACACGGACATTGACGATACTTTGGCCGGTGTGACCATATCGCAGACTGGCAATAAACACAAATTGCAATTTGTTATAGGTAAGCTGCGCCAAATGCCCCCCGGTGATGGGAATTTCTTCGCGAATGGGTGATTTCTTCATCCCGAATGAAAATCATTTAACGCTCGTAAACGTCTCAAATCGGTTAAATATTTTCTGAGATGACAAAATGAGTGTTTGCGTTCTTCGCTTTCATCGCATGCAAATCAGAGAGTTTTGTCCAGGAGCTTTGACTATATTTATGAAAGTTTATCAGGTTTAAAAAGAGAGTTAAGGGCAAGTCAAGTCTACGGTTTTTCCATGCTGCTAGAAAAAATCCAAACCTCCTTTTCGTAGCCAGTGCGTGAATCTGAACTACCCAAAACTATTTACCGATAACCACGATAACTCCCTATTGCTCCCTTATTTAAGTTGCGGATTTTTCCGGTTGAATGGAAGCGTTCTATTTTAGGCCCGCATTTACCCACTTGGTTAAAATTGGGATTAAGTCCGATTTAAGGGAAATCCTCAGGATGCAGACACTAAAGTCTTGTCTGGCGATTCTGAAATTCCCAACTCACTGCATTTGCTAGATTAGAAGTGGGGAATTTTTGAAGCAGCGGGTGTAGTATGAACACGTTTATCGGCCAACTTTTACCAACTTGCAAGAAATGAGAATTGCAAACTGAAAATTTTGTAGATGCTAATGTGTCTTAACTACTGACTGCCGATTTGAATAATTTCATCCAACTTCTTGCCTAGATCTAGATTAGAAGTTATTAATTTTTGAAGCAAAGGGTGCAGTTGCGTGTAGCCGTGTGCGATCTAGGTTTCGTTTTATTTGGTCTATTAATATGCCCCGTTTATTTGCATGCAGGTAATACAGTTCTTCCATACAATATGACGGTGTATCAGGCTGTGAGACAGTTTTCAAATAACGGCAACGATCAGAGCGAAACGGACACGGACAACGAGACGCCACTGGGAAATGCCGGGATCTGGGTCCAAACCCATGTAATATATTATAGGTGAGTGCAGGCCGAAAAACGGACGATATTTTGAGGCTACTCTATCCGTTTCTGAGCCAAATATAGTTTTGCCAAAAGTTGTTTCAAAGAGTGAAACTGAACATTTCAGTTGCGATTCAGATGTATTGCGAGCAAATTTTGCGTGGTTTTTTTTTGAGTTGCAAATTGTTATAAGCGTATCAAACTATCGAAAACTACAAAGGCGTTTTCCTCATTTGTTGAATGTTTGCATTTCTGGGCTTCAATTATCCGCAAGTTTGCTAACGCGATGTTGCGTCTTTTAGGCCATTAAGGGAGGAAGTGGCTGATCAGAACCACCGAAGCGGTTCCGGCAGCGGCTTAACTTGGAACCACTCTAGTCGCAAGGGCAAAGGAGTATCCGGAAAGAGCACATCAAGGCGAAAAGGTGTTGATTTGTGGAATGAAGGTAAGAACGTTCATTGGGTAGCAGAAATCTTGTTCCGTTTTAAACAGAGAGTTTACTGATGGAGGCAGTTATTGCAGGTATAACTCCTCCGGCACAGTCGCCGCTCGCCCCATACTTGAGCACGCAACTTCCGGATTCAGTGGCGGTGCAAGACGCTTCTTTAGAGGTGCTTTGCCTGTTGCGAATACTGCACGCGGTCAATCTGTACTGGGGCGCACTTTATCCGCACGTGGAATACCGGCCAATATTGGCTGCGACTGAATTTATCAATCCTAAGGTAATGTTGGTCAATCACTTGCCTGCTTCCAGGGGAAAATATCTAGTGTGGAACAGTTTTTCCTAAGTTCCACGCGACCATGTTTTCCCAGATCAAAGTGGGAGGTCTCTGAGTTTCCAGCGCGAAGCTGAAGCTGGGACTTCGTTCACCTCCCAACAAAAATTGCTATTTGCATGAAATCAAGCTGAAGTTGAAACTGAAATTTGCCACTGTTAACTAACATGTTCCAATGTTCAGATTGCAGCGAAAGCAAGCCGACAGCTGCAAGATCCGCTGGTGATTATGACGGGAAATTTGCCCAATTGGCTGCACCAGATCGCCACCTCTTGCCCGTTCCTGTTCCAATTTGAGACGCGCCAGTTATTGTTCTACGCGACTTCTTTCGATCGCGATCGAGCCCTTCAACGCTTGCTGGATATGGCGCCTGAGTTAAGCTCCAGCGACTCACAGGAGCGCGTCACTCCGCGTCTGGATAGACGAAAGCGGACGATATCTCGCGAAGACATTCTGAAGCAAGCGGAACAAATGCTGCAGGATCTAGCCGGATCCAAAGCCCTATTGGAAGTGCAATATGAAAATGAAGTGGGCACCGGATTGGGACCCACCTTGGAGTTTTACGCGTTAGTCTCGAAGGAACTGCAAAAGGTGAGTGTTGGCTGTTGTGTTCTGTGCACAAGTGCAGTTTTATTTTGGAATTTCAGCACAATTTAGATCTGTGGTACGCTCCGAATGCCACGCAAAGCGAAAGCGAGTACGTGCACAACCAGATGGGGCTGTTTCCAGCGCCGGTGGCGCGCGGCGTCAAGTTGGGACCCATCACGAAAGTGAAAAGCAAATTTCGATTTTTGGGCAAGTTTATGGCTCGGGCTGTAATGGATTCTCGCATGGTAAGCGCAACAGATTCAACATCTTATCCACTGAATTTGAATTAATTTCCTTCCAGCTTGATTTGCCCTTTTCCCTAACGTTCTACCGTTGGCTGTTGGGACACGAACACTGCTTAACATTGGCCGATTTGAAGCACGTCAGTCCGGATATTTACTCAACCATCCGAAAAATGCAGGACGTTGTGAGAGCGCGAGATGAAATCTTGCAAAACAGCGCTTTAACCGAAGAGGAGCAGTCCGAACTGGTATGAAAGCGAGCTGCTGGGCCGGAATCGGGATTTAAAGGCGCGATCGGTTTCAGGTTGAGAAGCTGGAGTTCGACGGGTGCTTAATCGACGATTTAGGCTTGGTTTTCGTTGTGCCCGGGTACAACGTGGAATTGATCAAGAATGGGAAAAACACCCATCTAACGATACACAATCTGCACGTGTATGTGCAAGTTTTAACGCATTGGTTGCTGCACGAGGGCGTGGCCCGTCAAATGGAGGCGCTGAGGGAAGGATTCAATTCCGTGTTCCCGTCGCAGAATTTGTGCATTTTCCAGCCGGACGAGCTGGAGCAAGTGTTTTGCGGCAGTCCAAAGGTAGGGTTCGAATAAATGTACCATTTTCTGTGTGTGCAGCAAATCGTTTCAGGATCACGTGGCCGGTTGGGATGTGAAGACTCTGATGGATTGCTGCCGGCCGGATCACGGCTATACGGCCGACTCCAAAGCCATTCGGTTCTTGTTCGAAGTGCTCAGTTCATACGATCGCGAAGAGCAGCGGATGTTTGTACAGTTTTTAACTGGAAGTCCTCGATTACCCGTTGGAGGTGAGTGAAGCTAAACATTCTCAGGTGAACGTCTCGTTTGAGAATCTCCGAATTTTTCGTTTTTTCTTAAAGAACACTTAAGAAAGAACACATTAAGCAGTTTTAGTGCGACGCTGCTTTGAACGCAAAACACTCTAAACTTCGTTCGTGTTTTTGTTGTTGTTCGCGCGACTAATCAGGCGAAAGTTGTTGGCATCGGCGCAAAAAGCTCCAATAGGGAACAGGCTGGCTCGTCCCGCCGGCGTATAAGGCGGGATTTTTTTGAAGCTGCTGCGGTAGTGGTGGAGTCGATTTTGTTGCTCCGTGTTCATTGGTGGCCCGAGTTGGGGGACGAGACGATTTCCAGTAGGCGCCTGGGATTGGTTGAAGGTGTAAACAGGGCAAGTGATTGGTTGGGAGCGCGGCTAATCAAGTGAACTGGTTGGCAGCGACGCAAAGGGATCCAATAGGAACCAGGCTGGCTCGTCCTGCTAGTTTATACAGGGTGAGTTTTTTGCGATGGCCAGTTCAGGGATCTTCGAGACTCTAGCAGTGAACGGAAAAGGTTAAATGGACAAAGAATTGTGGTTTTGAATGCTCTACTTGAAGCCAATTTTATATTTCTAAAATTTGACAGATGTCAAGATATTTGGGAAACATTTATGGTAAATTTTTAAGATACTCTTGGTTCCGTTGATATTAGTTTGGCAGGAAAACATTAAATCGAAAACTTGCGAGAAATTGAGTTCCAAACAAAATGGCATAAGACATTTCTCCAAAATAACTGTCATTTTGGACATATGGCACAAGTTTTTTTCAATGTCATCTGTCACAGTTTTTGACATGCATTGCAGGCATTTTTTGATTGTTTACTTTGAACCACCGCAACAGACGCACGAATAATAAAACTGCGAGAACCAATGCAAAATGTCGGCCAAACCTTTGAAAATTGAATACAACAATAGGATTGGTTGAGGAGTTATGATTTTTCACGTAAATCTCTGCATCCCAGTTTTTTGCAATAAATGTGACATATGTCAAAAAATAAGACAGATAAGTATTAACAAGCGGACGTTTTAAGTTCAAAATTTAATGCTGAACACAACAATGAAATCAAAATAGGGACTTTTTATTCAAAAAAGCCAAGAGATCGTCGATTTTCGATGTTTCCGGAAATAAACACAGTACTGAGGTAAATTAAGTTAATAAGTCACTCTAGTTCCAAAGATCCCTGTACTAGTCATCGAAAAAAACTCACCCTGTATAAGGTAAGACTTTTCTTCGAGACTACTTCTTTATTGGTGGGCCGAGTTGGGGGAATAGACGCCGATTTCCAGTAGGCGCCTGGGATTGGTTGAAGATGTAAACAGGGCAAGTGGTTGGTTGGGAGCGCAGATAATCAAATGAACTGATTGGCAGTGGCGCAAAGGGATCCAATAGGAACCAGATTGGCTCGCCCTGCCGGTGCATAAGGCGGGACTTTTTGAAGCTGCTGCGGTAGTGGTGGAGACGATTTTGTTGCTACGTGTTCATTGGTGGGCCGAGTTGGTGGAAAAGACGCCGATTTCCAATAGGCGCCTGGGATTGGTTGAAGGTGTAAACAGGGCAACTGGTTGGTTGGGAGCGCGGCTAATCGAGTGAACTGGTTGGCAGCGACGCATAGAGATCCAATAGGGACCAGGCTGGCTCGTCCTGCCGGCGTATAAGGCGGGATTTTTTGAATCTGCTGCGGTAGTGGTGGACACGATTTTGTTGCTCCGTGTTCATTGGTGGCCCGAGTTGGGGGACGAGCCGATTTCCAGTAGGCGAATGGGATGGGTTGAAGATGTAAACAGGGCAAGTGATTGGTTGGGAGCGCGGCTAATCAAGTGAACTGATTGGCAGTGGCGCAAATTGATCCAATAGAAATCAGGCTGGCTCGTTCTGCGGGTGTATAAGCTGCTGCGGTAGCGGTGGAGGAAGGAACTGGATTTTTTTCTTTGAAAGACTGACGTTTTTTGTAAAAAATTCCTATAAACTCTGGGTAATAAACCTGTTTGATTGTAGGTTTTAAAGCACTGTCCCCACCACTGACAGTGGTGCGCAAAACTCTGGAACCCAACATGAACCCAGACGACTTCCTGCCTTCTGTGATGACCTGCGTGAACTACCTCAAGCTCCCGGACTACTCGAGCATGGAGGTGATGCGCCTTAAACTCGGAATCGCCGCATCGGAAGGCCAGCACTCGTTCTACTTGTCGTAAACAGTGTTTCGTTCTTGTGTCAACAGTACTGTGGTCCAGTCGATGATGGACGATTTTGAAGAGGCGTAGCCTTTAAATTGTTTTGCCCGGTTAGAGTAACATATTTGAAAAAGCGAAGCCTTAAGTTGGAGTTTAAGTAATGCGGTCGACCGATGGCAGGCAGCGTTTTACATAAAGTGATATAGTCCCATTGTAAATTTGATATTATAATTATTTAGTGCGACACCAGAAAGCAAGCGAATTATTTTATTTGGTTGATTCCGTTTTTGGCCCATCGCTGATTCCGGACAAAATAGTCCATCGGATTCATTACTTATTCGATTCAGTTGGGGATTTTCCTATTTGTTGTTCTGTTGTCGACCTGTGGAAATGGGCCTTTTTTTATATAAAACGTTTTTTTTTTCGGCGGTGTGTTAATATTTTTGCAATTATATCGCGTACTACTGTTCAGTTGCATTGTGAGTGTATTTCTTAAGCAGCAGCAATCGCCCGAGTTGTGAAGATCGTGGAAACGCCACTAATTGCCAAATATGTAGAACAGTCGGGTCCAAGATGTGGTCACGTTATTATGTTGTAAGTTGAATCAAATATTTGTATTTTTAATTTCGATTATGTTTAAATAAATTTGTATACAGCAACAAATTGTATTTGGTTTAAGCCACATTTTTCAGCCGCCCAGGCAGGGGCGGATCCAGCTTTGGATTAAGGGGGGTTGGTTATATAGAAAAAATACAGTCTTCTGTTGTCTATGAAATTAGAAAAATTATCGTCGTTTTGTGCAAGGGTGGCGTAACATTATTGCAAAATTTCATCTTTTCCGTCCCGTTTTGCATGTTTCTCGGAAGCAAAATGAGCAAGAACGCTCGTTTTTACATCATTCCAGAGATAACTAAATGGCCTTTATTCGA